TCTCTCCCTCCCTCTGTCCATCCTTCCCTCCCTCTATCCCTCCCTCCCTCCCTCCATACCTTCCTCCCTCCCTTCTTCCCTCCCTCATCCCTCCCTCCCTCTTTCCCTCCCTCATCCCTCCATCCCTCCCTCCGTCCCTCTCTCTCTTCCTCCTTTCTTTTCTTCTCTTTCTTTTTTGCTGGAGATTGAATCCAGGACCTCCCACTGCTAACCGCGCACTCTATTACTCTATCGCTTAGCTACATGTCCAGCCCTGATTTCTACTCCTGGTGTCATTGGTCTAAAACACAACTTCTCGGAAAGGGCTGGGGGTGTTTGTGAGTGGTAGAGCATTTGCTCGGCACGTACAAAGCCCTGGAGTTGAGCTTCGGCTACAGGAAAGGAAAACAAGCACAAAACTCAAGAGAAAACTTCAGCCCCGGGTCCACCCTCGGCCAAAGCATTGATCATATGCCCCATTTGGTTTGTTGCTATGGCAACAAAGTAGGCATGACTCTGCAAAGGGGAACTGAAGTCCTGGGAAAGAAGAGGCCGGGCTGGGTGCAGCAGAGAGGCTCCCGACTGGCAGTTCGCATTTGTCTCTCGGCTTTCAAGCCTCAGATACAGCTAGTTGGTGGGTGTTCAGGAAATGTAGACGGTGCCCGACTTCCTTCCACCTCAGCCTGCCAAAGTCAGAGCAGGAAAGCTTTCTGCCCCTTCTCCACCCCAGAACACGTTATTATTATTACTTCCGTCAAGTCAAGCAGGTTTTTAGGCATTATAAATTACGCTCTCTTGAGTGTCTGCTTTTTTTTAGACTTTTCATCTGGCTTTTTTGATACCCATGCAAACATTACTTCATCCAGAACTCCCCCTGGCCAGGCCAGGGTAGGACCTCTGCTAGGGCCTGTAGTGGCGCTAACGTCCTCTTACCTTGCGGTTTCTTCTGATGAATAAGTCTGTCCCAATACCCTAAGCTACCTATTAGGGCAGTCATGGGTTTGTTATCTCTGTTCCAGATCCACCCTTCAGTACCTGCTTTGTGACGAGGTCAGGACCCTTTCAGCCACCCCCCTTTGCTAATCAGTGTGGGCCAAGCTTTGTTAGAGCCGTTCTGGACAGACTCTGGGGGAGGAGAGCTTCTCTCTAGGCTAGGGGCTACCTTGTAGGTTTTCAGTGCCAACAGCACATGATGCCTTCCTGTGGGCAGCCTTCCTGGCACCTACTAGTGAATGACCTCTGCGGGAACCCTGCAGGCTCTACAAGAGCCTGCCAAGAGAGGGTGCCTCCCCTTGGCCGGCTTCCCTGGCACCCCCTTGGCACAGCTTTTCAGCAGATAGCTCCTTCAGTCCTCCAGACAGTAGGTGTATGGAAAGGTCAGCCCTCATGACCTTCTCTACCCATGAGGCCTGGGGTAAGAGGGCCTCCATCGTGAATGCTCTATGTGGGCCTGGAGGATGCGAGCTGCTCTTTCTCCATTTGCTCTTCTGATATTTCTAATGCTTCCTTAGGCCTCACTGACCTATTCTGGCTATTGTCAATCACCTGGTAATCACTCTTTAGAGTTCACTTATGGAAATTACTATGAGGAGGTTTCTGCCTCCTCTTTGGATATATATATATATATATATATATATATATATATATATAATATTTAATAATTACATACATTTTCACAGAACATATTTAATAATTTATATATATGTATGTATATAATATTTAATAATTACATACATTTTCACAGAACATATTTAATAATTTATATATAATAATTCTATGTAATTTGCCATGTCTTTGTCTATTGCTTTACAGCAGAATGTCTGACATAGAACACAATTGCAAAAAAGTTAAATATTTAAAAAAGTATTTAAACAGGAGCTGGCAACTCTGATGCATGCTTGTTGTCCCAGCTACTTAGGAGGCTGACACAGAAGCCCAGACATTGAGCGTCGACAACATAGTAAGACCCTGACTCAAGACAAAATAAAATGAAATAACCTTTAAGCCCAGCACTTAGGAGGCAGAGACAGATTTCCTGGAGTTCAAGGCCAGCCTGGTCTACATAGTGAGCTCCAGGCAGTCTAGGGATATACAGAGAAACTCTGTCTATGATAAATAGATTGGTAGGTAGATAGGTAAATAGATAGATAGATAGACAGACAGACAGACAGTTCGACTGATCAAGAGTCTCTCCCACATCAAACTTAACACAACTAGAGTTCTCAGACTCAAAACTTCAGGACCCAGGACTGTGTAGCACAGCCTGTTAATGCTATGTTTCTGTCCCAGCAGTCACTAAACAGAATTGTGATGCCAATGGTGGAGCCTGATCAGCACAAACTCCTTTTCTAGACCCTTCCCAGCCCTCTACAGACATAAATTAGTCAGGAATCAAAAAGGGGATATTTCAAAGTTCAGTGGTCTGTACCAGTGAAGTACTGTGCTTGGCGCTGCGTTTCCAGTCCACCCGTTAAAACAAACACGGCCCCCTTTGCACAGATAAACCCACAGATTCACAGATGCAGCAGAAAGGACAGACACACTTCACAAGTGACGGTGAGCTGGAAGACGCTACGGTTTCTCTCAGCCCTCCCTTCTCTCATTGGCATGGCGATTGCAGATTTGGGGCCCTGAGTGGTCAAGACCCTGAGCGCTGTACAGTCTACCCTTCATGTTTATCACTTGCTGCTACTCTCTGTGAGCATTTTCATGGCCTTAGAAGCCACATGTAGCTACTACCCCCCGCCCCCAAGTCGTTGCATTTATCATCAATCGTAGCCATGTCGTGTTCCATTTTATCCTCAAGCCAAGGTTTGCCAAGCTCATTCCGACTCTTGGGTCCTGGCTTGGCCCATGTTGTCCTACCTTACGGAAAGCATAGCTTAAAGTATCTTTGCTCATGTTGCTCCAGCTCTACATGGTCTTCCTCCGGGGTCTCCTATCTTCAGCTCCCTTGGCAGCTGGGCCCACACACTTTCTGACCGGCTGACAAGAGAGACCAGGATGAGAGATCTATGGTGAATGTGGAGATTTAAAAAATCAAACTAAAGGTTTCCAGGAGAGAATGAGTCTAGGAGAGAGAGAGGCTGGGGGCAAATTGGAATGGAGGACGTGGGATTGGGGAAGCAAGGTTATTGAAGATGGAGACTGTTTCTTGAGTCTCTCATGTTGTAACCTGTGGCTAATGCATTAGTCAGGCTGAGCACGTGGAAGCTACACAGCATGGCTTAGAAAAACATCTCAGTTCTCACGAATAGACTCAAAGGCAGACAATGCTGGAGGTAATCGAGAGTGGGAAGCTCTCCGACATTCTAAACCAGCCATCACTCAGCTGTTTCCTGAATTCCCAGAGTCAGGGAACATGAAAGGCCGTCTTTGCCACTCAGCTTGGTAAATGTTAACCCTCCTATTAAATTTGTTTTTCACGGAAAAGGACTCCTGGAATGTGTTCAGGAGGAAGCTTAAGCCTCCTGGCACTACTTAAGATTGCTCATTTTCCTGTCCACACATAATGCTTATTTCAAAAGTTTGTCTCCCACTCGTTCCTAAAAGGAGCTGTGCATTGTGGGTAGTGCTGAGTTTGCTCTTCCAGCTTTGAAGATCTCTGTCACCCTGCTCTCGCTTCTGTAACAGCACCTGTTGACAGACCAGTTGTTTCCTCTGTAGGAGATCTACCTCTCTTTTCCTTATTTCCCTTTTGAGTTTGGCCGGTTTGCAGCTTTACTATGATGAGTCTGGGTGCCGACTTACAGAGGTAGAGGTTCATGGTGCAGCGTAGGACACTGAGGTTTCTGGTGCCCTTGAACTTGCAGGCCTGATCAGTTCCGGAAACTCACTTATTGCTTTATTTGTTCAAATCTCACCTTTTCTCTGTTCTCCTTGTCTCCTGGAGACTCGGTTGTGAGTGTCTTAAGTAGGTGTATCCTTTCAGCCTCCAGGTCTTAACCCCTCTTTCCCATTTTCTGTCTTTTCATCTCTCCATGTCGTATTGTGGGTAATTTTCAGATAGATCTAATTTTCTTTTCAACTCTTGTCTTTTTTTTTCTTCTCTGCTGTTCAGTGTTCTTTGAATTTGAACTGATTTTGTATGGTCCATAGGAGACCTGAGGTCGTGAATGAGGTTATCTACTCCAGAAGGTTCCACAAGTTTCTCCCAGGATGCAGGAGGTCGGTGTGGCCCTGCTCAAAGGTTGGGATTTAAGGAGGAAACCACCTTGTGGGAGGCCCAGGGCTCGGTTGCAGACTCCCTTTTATCTCAACTCCTCCTTCCCAGATTTCTTCTCACGCACTTTTCTTGGACCTTGGAAAGTTTCTCCGCTCTTTGGGAGCCCAGCTGTGCACAATACTGTATTGTGTGTCCGAGTGTATCACACCATGGCAGGACATCCTTCAGGGACTTGGCTCTGTCATAATAGTGGGAGTGGATGCTGTGTGTGTGCATAACGTTGGACACATATAGACACAGTGGCAAGACACACAGCAGCCGGCGTCATGGTCCTCAGGACAAATATTTGAGAATAAAACAATGATACAGGAAATAGGGAACTGTTTGAAGCGCTGTCTCTTGCTGTAATGACATTTGTATATGCCACTTAAAAAAGAGACAGGGTGGCTGGGCAGTGGTGGCGCACACCTTTAATCCCAGCACTTGGGAGGCTGAGATAGGCGGATCTCTGTGAGTTTAAGGCCAGCCTGGGCTACAGAGTGACAGGACAGTCAGGGCTGTTACGCAAAGAAATTCCATCTTCAAAAACCAAAAAGAAAAAACGAAAAGAAAAGAAAGGAGAGAGAAAGAGAGACAGGGAGAAGGGAGAGAGAGATAACTTATAGTGTAAGACTTCTATGAAGGACAGCCTGGTATTTGGGGGATAAAGAGCATTAACAGAGCTAGCAAGGTGGAAGAGGTAAGACTCACCCCAATTCTGTTAGGTGACCCTCTGACTTCACAATTATAGGACTTAGCTGGTCATTTTTCACATGAGTATCCCTTTTGGAAATCTCTACACTGTTCTTGTTTACAGGAGGAGTGTTCATTAGAGCCTAGGTCCCGTGGAAGAGCTTTTCGCATGGACAGTGCTAACGGGCTGACGCCCAACACAATCTTGAAGAGCTGTTTCCCACTCCTGCGGGTGAGTGTCTTCCTGACGCCCTCCTCGGAGAAGTGGGAACCTCACTCTCTGTCCTTTGAAGGCAGGCTGGCTGCGGGCCGCGCCTCCTTGGTGTGGGGAAGCTGCCAGCTGTGTGCGGCCTCTGTCTGGACCTCGGTGGTTGACTGAAGTCTGCTGTTGTCTGTAATCTTCAACATCAAACTTTGAACCAGGCCCTAGTTCTGGGTTGGAAATTAGTTGTAGAAAATCTGGGCTCTGAACAAAAACCACATTTGAAAGAGAGTGTGTCGCCCCCCGCTCCCCCACACTGGCTTGTGCTCCCAAAGCAAAGGCTGAAACAGTGACAGCTGCTTACACAGGATTTCCCCCTAACTACCAGACAATAGCTGTTTTCTTCTCCACTTAGAATGGCATTTTCTTTTTCTTGGACCATTTAAGTCCTCAGTCCGTGTGACCATGAGGGCTGGTCTGTGACTCCTCTCTTTGCCTAGATGGAAACAAACAAAGGCCCTTCCTTCTTTTTTCTTTCCTTTTTTTTTTTTTTTTTTGCAGGTTCTCACTCTGTAGCTGATCCGCAGCTTGTGGTGATCCTCCTGCCTCAGTCTCCACAGTGCTTGGTCACAGGTGTGACCCATCATGCTCCCTCAGCTTTTGGGTCTTAAGGTCAAACTTCAACTGCTCAGAATGCTTAGCTGAGTTTGGCTCTGGGGAAGAAGCCAGCTGATCACCTTTCGGGCCAGCCCATCACCGGTTGTTCACCAGAGACACTTTACAGGAAGTCTCTAGAGGCCTAGAACGTCATGGCTTTTTGTTAGCTCACAGGAGAAGATATAGCACATAGCTGAGCACCCCAGGCATGCCGGCTTTGGCTACCCCACATTGTCCTCTCTCTTCGCTAGAACTTTTCATCTTATTTTTTGAGACAGGATTATGGTGATATTTCATTTGTACTGAAATGTGATTTTATTTGTATGTTAATAAATAAAGTTGCCTGGGGGTCAGAGCTAATAGCAAGCCATAGCAGAAACTGGGTGGTGGTGGTGCATGCCTTTAATCTTAGCACTTGGGAGGCAGAGCCAGGTGGATCTCTGTGTGTTCAAGGATACAGCCAGCATGGAGACACACGCCTTTAATCTCAATACCAACCATAGAAGACCTGGAGGTCTGTACAGACAGGCACTGACAAGGAGGTCATGTGGTTGGGTTTACAACCAATGAGAAGGCAGAATAGAAAGTCAATAAAAAGCACAAACAGACAGGAAGGAGGTCTCTTGCGGAGAGGTAGGACAGCAGCGGCAGTGAAGGGTGAGGTTTTTAATCTCAGCTCTTAGCTATTGCTCTGACCTCTTGGCTTTCATCTCTGAATCGGCTCCATGTTTCTTATTTAATAAGACGGTTACATCTATACAGGATCTCTCTCTCTCTCTCTCTCTCTCTCTCTCTCTCTCTCTCTCTCTCTCTGGCTTGGAACTTTGAAGTTGGTTAGGCTGGCTGGCCAGTGAGCCCTAAAAATCTGCCTTTTAAACCTCCACAGTGCCCAGATCACAACTCCATACCACCATATCTGTTTTTACACAGGTTCTGGGCATTGGAGTCAGATCCCCACACTTGTGTGGCAAGTACTTTACCAATTGAGCCATATCACCAGTCCCTCAATATATGAGATTTGAGAGACACAAGCGTTCGGACCACAGTACAGGTAACCGCTATCGGTCACTAAGTTAGCCGGTGCACATATTGCTTTTGCCGTAGCTCGCAGGAGGTATTGAGCAGTGGGGTGGGGTCTTTTGGGCACACATTCCCACTTCCAGGATCCTGCATGCTCCTCCTGAGGAGAGGAACGCAAGCTAGAAGGTGGTTGCATAACAACCGTCAGTTTTACAGCTGAGTGAGCTGTGAATAATAGCGCTTTCAGCTTCTATTACCAATCTGCCCCCAGGAGTATGATGAAACTGAGAAAATGTTTATGGGCTAGTAAATTTTTTCTACTAATTTGCAAGGCTATAATAAAACCCATGAACTTGATGGCCTGCAGGAAGCATAACAAGGATTAGGAATGTAGAGCAATTTAGAGCCATAAGGCCTCTTTAAGACCTACAGGAAATGACTCCCAGAAAACAGATGAATCATAGCATTTTAAACAGAGAATTAAGCTGCTAATTTAGCTGGCTATGGGCTAAGAACAAAATTTTCCCAAAAGAATGTGCGATTTCCGTCTCTCTTGCCTTAAAGAGTACAATTAATTCATGTATGTAGGAAATAAAAGTCAAATTAAGGCCGTGACTGGAACACCGCGTGTCTTTCAGTGTTAATACTGCTCCCCTTTTAAAAAAACAGTATATACAGCCACATTCTGACCCCTTGTGGCTGAAATGATTACTACATGCAGATGACGCCGGTGCATTTTAGTTAATCATCAATCAGACTCATGTAGAAATCATTGTCAAGTGAGGGACGCCCTGAAGAAGGTGGTTGGCAAGGAGGCCACTGTCAGGACATGCACGTTTGTCTGTGGTCATCCTTATTCAGGGAAACAGCAGTCAAGGGGGATCCTGATGTTTCAACAGATGCAAAGAAACAGCTGTCGCAGAAAACATCTCCATTTCTGTTTCCTACTGGACGTGCCCATTTACAGCACAGTACTGCAAGTTATGATCACCTATATAGAACAGTGACTTCTATCATTTCACGAGGACGCCAGTTTCCTCATGTCACCTCATTTAATCTCTAGCCCACAAAGTTATCTCAGAGTGAGAAATATGTAGTAACGGCTACTGTTCTCCCAACTAGTAGATTCGAGCTGGGATTTGGATGAAACCCCCAGCTCCAGGAAACTGTGCACTTTCCATGGCACAGCCTGGCTGTACCCAAATTTTGAGAACTGTGCATGCGATGATGATGACAGTGTGTGCCTTTCCCCTTCTGTCAGGCTCAAGGGCCAGAGTAGGGAAACAAACCACACGTGGGAGAGAAACGAGTGGACAGGGCACACAACGACCATCTACAGAGAAATGGTTCAAACAGACAGACTTCTGCATGGCCCTGTCCTCACCTCCATACAGAAAAGCAGCTTCCTGTCTATTATTCTCCTTGGAGAGCCCTGGGAATTTGGTTTCCAGGGCCTTCGGGGAAGCTCAAGTTCTTTGTTTTCTCCTGTGCACTGCGGCGCATCTCTAGGTTGTTTCTAATACAGAATACAGTGGGAGCCGTATTCAAGTGGGTACCAAGCAGATCGCCCAGGCAAAGGTGACCAGAGAGCAAATCTATGCATGTTTGGCCAGAAGTGTTTGCTCCTCTGCAGATGTTCATTCTGCAGCTGGCTGAGTCTACAGACACAGACACAGAGCAGGGTAACTGCAGCTGGCTGAGTCTACAGACACAGGACAGGGTAACTGTGCAGTTGGCTGAGTACAGACACAGG